CAAAATCAATAATGTGGCTGGCTATTTTCTCGTATTTCTTCCCATCTCCGGTAGTCCCAAAAGGGTTATGAGGTGACGAGCCTGTCAACATAACCCTTTATTGTGATTATAATCAATCAAAATCAATCAATTAGTTTCATAACATACAGCAACTCTCAACTACAAATCAGCTGAACCTTTAAGAAACACTGCAGAATTTTTATACTAAAAGGTGTCACGGTTATTCACTATCCAATCTTACTCTGCAAGAGGCACCCGACAAAAATCTATTGAGGGCACAGCAATGACTGCTGTGCACTTCATTTGGTCATTCATAAGAAGGAACTTTACACCAGTCATTATTGCTATGGTTGAGACAAATTACAAACTTCGGTTCAGACTACATTTATCGTCAGTCCTCTGTCCAAGACTCAAGCATTTCTAAATCAAGTCCTGCACCCACAAAGATTAGAACATTTCACAACTCCCACAATTTAATGTTCAAAACTTTAAAACACACTTACATTGGGCCTCAATTGTAGAATTGTGCTTTGATAACTCCATAAACCATAATGATACACATTTTTCTGATAGAACGATAAAGATGACTTAATCATATATGCATCATCACAACTGGTTCACAGAACAAGGTTATATATTGTTGCCAGTTTAGTCAACTTTGTTGTTTATTTCTTTGGTTCTCTAGTAGGTTTTAATCAACACCTTTAGATATAAAATGTATATATCTAAGAGGACATGTTTACAGGGTTATGGAGAGAGAGCAGGGGAGTGGGATTGATTTGGATAGCTCTTTTCGAAGAGCCAGCACAGATACGATGGGCCAAATGGCCTCCTCCTCCTAAAAACCCCATATAGGTCAACACCTCCAAAAAATACAAGATATGTTCATTTCTTCACGTCTTGCCCAAAACCCCTCTGCCAAAGAATGATGGAACATTCAACTACACATAACACTGAACCGGAACCAGAGCAATGGCTCTTTAGTATTCCCACAATAATCACAGCAGATCTGAAAACTACTAAGCTTTCTTCCTAATACTGTGAATTGACAGAAGTAAGCATTCACACAAACAAAAAAAACAAAATGACCATATGAAATTAAAAGGGAAAGAATTCACCTCCTCAAAAGCAGAACGCCATGAACAAAAACCGCCTATTCTGTCGAACCACTTATACATTATCTTGCATATGTACAATGTAAGGAATTTAAAAGACAGTACAATTGTAATACAAAAAAGTTTATAAATCTTGCTCCAGAACAAAATGATTAGCTTGTTATTTCAAGGAAGTTATCAACATTGAATACAGTACAAAATCCAACCTCAAACTTTTGGAAAAGTAGTAAACACTATAAACTGACCATAGCAATGAAATACTCAAAATAATTAGAAACAGAAGCCATACAATATCCTTTGCTCTCAATTTGGATTGTGTCCATCAGCTGCTCTTGAGCAGGAACCCAATATAAACAAGTATAACTGGGACATCCTGCAGAAATAGCTACAATAAATAAATAAATAGTCCACTGTTATTACAACCTAAACTTTTTAAAGGGATATTAATAATGATTAAGTTGGGGATGGAAAAAAAGTACTCAGTGGTTAATGCTCTATTCACACTTTATACTCTTTTTTAAATAAGCACAGTAAGCAATTGCTGGGGGATAAGTTATTCTGGCATTGGAAATCCTGAGACTCAACCAAATTAAGTCACGTGTATAATGATTAAATTGTCTTAAATTTAGAAGACTAGACAGTATCTAAGCAGGCACAAATCTATTTTAGCATTCTGACTAAGACGAGCTAACTCAGCACAGGCCAGAATCGAACCTGCAACCTTCTAGCTCAGTGTAGCATGAACTATACTTTACTGTTAGTGCCGTTTCACACTAAACCACTGGGTGTAGCCTGGCAATCACACTTTTTATAAAAACAAAAATATGTAACTATCAATACTAAATTCCCACAAGTTTAGATTTCTTATTACTGTAATTGTAAGCAACTGTATGTACTAATGGTTTCAAACAAAAGTGTGATAAATGCACTGTTAAAATGAATTGCCTCTAACTTCTATTTTTCTTAAATGAATAAAGCTCCCTTATAACAGATGGGAGCATATTGTCTCAATCGGATGAAATATACATACTGCATTTACTTTGATGCAATACAGATTTTATTTGCAACTAATTTCTCTGCTGTAAACTACTCAAAACAAGCTTGTTAATTATATTCATGAGAAACAAAATAATAGAGCACTATTTATCAATTATGTCAATATCACAAAGACATGGTTAAAAATGACTAGGGAACTAGTGTAATGTTACACATTTTTGTAGATGTTTTTCTATCCATATAGTTTCTATATTTCAAACCAGCATAAGAAGTGGATATTCCAACAGAATGCTCTCCTAACTTTTCTCACTTTAAGCACTTTTCACTTCATTATTTCTAAATTAGAATTGTGTGGACTTTCAAAAATAATTTGGTAGACTACCATAGTTTATATTACATCCAATATATTACAATATTGTGACATATTTGGCAATTCCCATGCCTTCCTCAGCTAGTGCATCCGAACGAGATTTTTTTAAAAAAAAACTTCAACTCGCACTGCACAATAGTAAAACTATTCAAATTCAATAACAGCTTGTAAAATAGTAATGCAACACAATTTTTCTTTGCCCCATTATCCCTTTCTCTTCCAATTATATTTCTAAGAGCAAACATGGTCTTAACTTTCATATTTACTTTATATGGGATTCCAATATACACTAATTCTTAAGCAATGTAACAGTTCCATCTATATAGCTAACATTGCGGCTAGTTCTATTTTCAAAACTAGTTTATCAGATTGCAGCCTACAGATTACAGTTTTAACATTGTAAAGCAGCCTTCACTATTTCAACACTTTACAAATTCAACTGTTGGATCCATACAATGGACACAATCTAAATTACTTCAAGCTCTAAACAGGTACAAGGTCATACAAGCAACAAAATATACTTGCCCATGTTACTACAATTAGTTATACTTACAGATAAGGACCATTACAGTCTTTTTTATAATAAAAATATAATCTTTTTCCAGATCTATATTTTGACGTTTTTTGTCACAAAATAGGAGAAAATCAGAAGGGAGACCAGGGACTTCCCCTTGTACTTTCAGTAAAAAAAATCTGGATTTATTTTGGAACATCAAAAAAACCTCAATACATCAAGCCAAACACTAATAGAACACATTTTGTTTATATTCATAAAATATTTTGATGTGGCCTGCAGTTTTAACGTGCATCTGTAATTTTAACGTTTTGCAAGTTTCAATAGGACTATATTTAATAACGAGTAACAAACCATTACTTATACTGATATGTCAACAAGTTGAAGGGTTTATAATAATAATAATCCTTGCATTTGAGATAGCGCTTTTCACGTCTTCCAGACATCTCAAAGCACTTCACAGAATATACTGCAAAGTGAATTGTATATTTGTGGGCGAAACACAGCAGCCAATTGCGCACAGCAGTGTATGACAAACAGTCGTGGATTGAAGTGACCAATTTTTTTTCTTGAGGGATTATTATCAGGCATGTGGAGTAAGGAAACTTACCTAAGGTTAGGCCCTGCCGGGAATTGAACCCAAGTCTCTCGCTTGCAAGGCAAGTGCTCTAACCACTGAGCTACAGCGTTCACACAAGACCACTGCCAGTTATGATCTAGATATTCCAAGTCCACATAAGTTTGCAATTTGGATGATAACTTAGTGGTTCTGGATTTATGTAAATCTTTATATAGCCAATATCATCAATGTATCAATAGTTGTGCCTTCTAGGATCTATTCTAAAACTTTGCACCAAAAGCTTAGAACAACAGCAATACAAATATTCTTCTAAAAATGCTCGTTAAAAAAACTCAAACTGCACATGTCACCAGTCACACTCAATAAGAAAACGTGTCAGCTATCCACATCTCAATTGCTATATTTTCCCAGTGATGATACTCATTAAAATAAATCGGTCCCCCCCCCCACCCCACCCTCTCTCCGACCACCCCCCACACCCTTTAAAAGGAAACTATCTTTACCAACAAAGACTTCAAACTGTGCGAATACACACACACACACACAAAAACGTAATGGTTCGGAGGGAGTGCAGGCAAGAGAATTGAGAAGACAGCAGAGAGAGAGACACAAACAAAAGTCGACCGCCCATACAGACATATAACTCAGAGAGAGGGTGGGGACACCGATTTATTTTACTGAGTATCATCACTGGGGCTAAACAATATAGAAACGCGAAGGTGATTGATGCTGATGATTGGAGGTGCACTCACTGTGCAGCCCCACCACCGTCCACAATACCCACAGACACTCGCACCGCCGACCACCGCCGCTGAGGCGGGTTCCAGCTGAGAGAGATGGCGTGTTCGAGTGAGTAAACAGTTGAGTATGTGACACCGACACAAAACTCTCGGGTCTATTTTTGTTGAATAAAACTGAAGGGAGGGAGGGAGGGAGCTGCAACCCTCTCGGTGGGAGTATTACACTAACCATCAAGAGGGGGGGGGGCTCAGATTCCAGCAGCAACCCCGTGTCTTGCCCCCCCCAAAAAAAAGCATAATCAGGGGTTAGAGATCTGATATGGGGCTGTACCAGGCCTCCCCGCCTCTCTCCCGTGGTTAGGGGAACCCCTCTCGTTCGGTGTTCACGAAATGAAGACAGACAGACAGACAGTGAAGAGGGACACAGGGCGGCGAGGAGAGGGATAGGGAGACACACACACCGGAGGGGGAGAGAAGAGGTGGCGGTGCACTCGCCGGGGGTTGGGGGGGCGAGTGGTGGTGGGGAAGCGACTCGGGCCTCCTCCCCTTCTCTTCTCTTCACCACCATCACCAGCCCCGGGCCCCCTCCTCCCTCTCCCTCTCTCTCTCTCTCTCCCAAAGCCAACTTTCACCGCGTCGCATCAGGGTCAGGTCGCGTTACATTCAAAAAAAAAGGTTTCTTTACCTCACGTTTTACCTCACGGAGGCTGCGGGGCCTGTGTACCCGGGAAGCCCGCCGCTCGCCCCGCTCCCGCTCGGGACTCTCCTGCCTGCGGCCGCCCGCGCCGACGACACCGACGCCGCTCGCGCTCCGCCAACGGTTTGGCTCAGACCCTCCCTCGCGCCCCTCCCCCCTCCCGCCGCCCCGTCACTCACACACCCCCCCCCCAAAACCACTCCTCAGCACGTGCTCGCAAAGCCGCCCGCCTATTGGTCCGCCAGCTCGAGCCAATGGCACACCGCGTCACTGAGCCGACCGTCCGTTTTCGTGCGTCCTCGCTCCCGGTTGGCTGTCGCCGGGGAAACGGGCGCCACCGGGCCTCCCGCCGCAGCGCCATCTTCAGGGAGAAGGTGAGTAATGCGTTCGGCGAGACTCATTCCCCGATGCTCCTCTTCATCTCCTCCCTCCCTCCTGTGGTAACTAAGCACCTGCAGCCTAGCAACCGCTGTTGAGAGAGAATCAATTGCTTCTCTCTTGGTTGAGGTTCCCCCCCCAACCACCACCACCGCCATCAAAAAAAAGGAGATGACATGAGGATTGATTTCAAGATCCTCATCCTCACCTACAAGGCCATTCACGGCCTTGCTCCCTCCTACCTCTCCAACCTACTATCCCCCTACCTACCTGCCCGTACCCTCCGTTCCTCTGGCTCCGGTCTGCTCCACGTCCCCCGCCCCAACTGCCCTACCATCGGTGGTCGGGCCTTCAGCCTCTCAGCCCGAGGCTCTGGAACTCCATCCCCCAGTGCCTTCGCCTTGCTTCCTCCCTTTCCTCCTTCAAGGCCGGTCTCAAAACCTTTCTCTTTGACCGAGCCTTCAGCTCCCCTCTCGACTCTCTTCCCCCTCCTCGCTCCCTCCCTTCCCTCCCCTCACCCTGACCATTTCCCCCCTCCTCGCTCCCTCCCTTCCCTCCCTCACCCTGACCATTTCCCCCCTCCTCTCTCCCTCCCTTCCCTCCCCTCACCCTGACCATTTCCCCCTGCTCGGGTCATGACCCAACTGTGCAGCGCCTTGGGACGTCCTCCTGACGTGAAAGGCGCTCTATAAATGGAATCTTGTTGTTGTTGTTGTTGTTGTTTGGTGGTGGTGGTGGGTAGGGAGGGAGGGAGGGAGGGAGCAGTCCAAGCCATGGTGTGAAGGGCAATGCCAGGCTGTGGGATGGCCTACTCTTGTTCCTCTGTTCCATTGGAAAACGCTGGAGGTGACTGATCAACCACCGCAGCCCGAGACCGCGGATGCGGTTCGCCATCCTTCAACCCCCGCGCTCTTTATTACGCTGTGGTTTAAAACGGTAGATGTCGACTCAACGTTTTTTTTTCCCATTACCGCCAAGACACGGAGCGGAGCTAAGACGGGGGGTCAGCAATTGACAAGACCACGATTGGCCTGGGGGAAGACATCCCTCCAGGATACTCGCTCTCGTGTCCTCCTATCAAGGCATCGACTTTCTTTGTTTTTTTGAATGAGTCCAGTGCCCCGGCCTGAACCACCCATACTGTCAACCGGTTCCAGTTGTTATTTACCATCTGAGTTCAAAATAAATCCTGGTATATGTCCTGAAATTGCACTTTGCACTTCTAAACCGATGTCCTTTTGTTCGACTGCCTTAAAGTATTGTTCTGGGTTTACTTTTTCAGACGTTTTATAATGAAATAACAGTTCAACTGGTACACAGACCACACAACCCCTAAAGTTTGCATTGGTGTTCCCTGATTCCTCCAAAGTATTTGAGCCCAAAATTTTAAGAATTTGTCCCAACTGTGGTTTCTTTCTTTACACAGACAGCATTACCCCGGGCCCTGACAGCAGAGAAACAATATTTCGCCACTCCAACACTTGAACCTTCGTGATAAAGAATGAAAAATGTTATTGCAGGTATCTTAGTTTTCTGGGATTTCTAATCCAGAAGTACACTACATTGTCGAATATACTGTAGCATTCTTACAACTATTAAACAGAGTTTACTGGCTAATCTATTGTGTAAAATAAAAGTAAATGATTTTAAAAAAAGGCTTGTATTCAGGAAATTTTATTGTGTTGCAAATTTTGTCACAGTTTAGCATACATATTTCTTGTTTTGTTATGAATCAGGAGGTTGGTCTTACAGTGAATAGAACAATGAGCAATTATTTTTTATAATGAAATATAATGGCAAAGATTTTTAGATAACTCTTACAGAAATTAATGCTGTTTAAATTATTGCTCTCAGCTTTAAAAGTGATCCTAAAAGCCATACACTTAAAACAGAAGTGCTTCAAATCAGCATGATCACCACATAATCATACTTGACCTTAGATATTAAAATGTCATTATAAAACTAATCTCAATATTTTTGGATACATCAAAGCAGAAGAACAGAAGGGCACAAGTTTAGGGTTGTGAAGAACAATTTCAGTACAGACCCCAATGAATGTTTCTTTACAAATAGGATAATTACCAGGAAGGTTTGGAATGAACTACCAAGAAGGGTGGCTAAGGCCAGGACATTGGACTCATTTATGAAAAACTTGGATGTTGTAAATGGAAATATCAGGGCTGGATTAACCAATAAAACAGATAAGACTTGTGGTTCAATTTGGTTGGTTGCTGGACTGGGCTGGATTTTGTAAGGCTAGATTGTGTAAGGCTGGGTGGGTTCACCCCACCCCAAACACAATTGCGCCCCACCTCATATTCATCCACCCCGCTAAACTGCAATCTCTAGTCTATTTACCATTTTGCTAAAATATTGGCACTCAAGCACAGTTAATCACCCACATTTGCAAACAAAACACACCTCTTTTAAAGCATTTGATGGTTATTCATTGGAATTTAATTGGCAGCATTATTAATTTGATTACACCTACGCAGCTGTGCGCTGCAGTTAGTTGCCAGTTGTGCCAGAGTAGAGGCCCCGAGAGGTTTTACAATTCATTGCACACGACTTGTCTGTTCTGCTGCCGGCGGCACAAGTAGCCACACCTGGAGCATTTGTCTGCGTTAGGCTCACATTTCCAAATGTTGCTCTTCATATGTTCTTAACATTACCAGTAAGTCTGTTAAGGTGAATGCTCATTCTCAAAGATGAGTCTCATCAAAAACTCACTCAGATCTACAGTGCTCCGGAATAGATTGCATACAGTCTCAAGTTGCGGAAGAAGGTAGGTGAACAAACTACTCAGATTGATTTATTTTACTCAACGAATGGAGCGCGTGTTGAATAGACTATCCAGGGAGACAGTGGGTCAACATAAGAGAAACTGGAGAGCTATTTGATGAAGAATTCAATTGAGCAGGTATGAGAGATAGAATTTTTTTTAATTGTCAGCCAGATGTGTGACACGTGTAGAAACCCATCACCATGCTTAAGAGTATACAAACTAAGCTGAGATTTCCAACTAAACGTGGAAATTCCCAGAGACAGATTGTTGGAATGGAATGCACATTCTCTCTGGAAGGATGCATCCTGCTTACCTAATTCCCGGAAAGTATTAGGCGTAGGTTGGCAAGAGCCAACACTTAGGGATCCCAGTTTGTGCATTTAGCGTCTAACCAGCTAAAACCATACAGCTTGCCATGCTGTCTGGCAAGCTTTCCCGCTGAATCTCCAGCGAGGACCACTCGACCCGTTAGGGTTTTGGTTTGTAGGGTTTACAGGAGCTGAGTGGGATGATTCCCTGCCTCAGTGACTGGTCTGTCCTTCCAGGTCCTGCCAATGAGCCAGGCTGGGTTTTGCTGTCATCAGTACTGCCCTGGAATACTGCAGACCCACCCGGCTCAGGAACCGGACTAAAGACTGCCACAGAGGCCTGGCTCAGGTCCAACATTCCATTGCTATGCATGTCACCTTGGAGCCAGTTCAGCTCCAAGGAGACCCACATTACCTCCCTCCAAGGAGCAGTCTAGGATTATTTATTATTTTAAAATTTTATTTACTGCGGGACTGGTCAAATAATCTTTTCCAGTCCTGGACATTCCTTTGTTCCAATGTAACAAAAACATCTTCAGCAGCAGGCAAAAGAAAACACAGCTGAAACATAGCACAACTCAAGACCATTCTCTTATCCCTACTTTACTTCAGCAGTATTTCTAAATGCTACTTTAAGCCATTTTTTCTTCATCTATCCTAAAGGCATTTGACACTGTTTTGTTCTGCAAGCATACAATTACACAGGCACCAGTTATCCTCTGGTATCTCACCCGAATAGCCATTATTCATGTGTGATCCTTGACATTTGACAATGTCAGGAGCTTAGTGGGTACCAGATAGCAATTAGGAGCAGAAACTGACACCAATCTTCCCCTCTTAGAGTGGCAGTTTTATCTACACTTAATATTCAACACTTAGCATTTGGGAGTAAGTGGGGGGAGGATGGAGAGGAGGAGCTAAAAGACTTTTCTAAAAAAAACTTGAATGTCAAAATGGAAACCTAGAGTGCTACAACATAATCTGAGAATGTACATCTGTTTTCTCATTTTATTCGGTGTTTGAATCTCTTGTGAAACAGAAGATTGGCTTATTTCAGATACATATTCCTGATGATGAATATAACTATTCACTTCCTTCCAAAACAAAGCACTGGATTTTGAGTATCTGAAATTGTGCACCTCTTGTACTCCAAAGTTGAAATCCACCCTCTTCAGTTTGCTTGGTATGATGTTAAATTGTTTTTTTTTTGATTGAATGTTCTTTTTACGCTTGCTGCAATATCTATTGGTTTGCAGGTAAGACTTCTTCCTTATTACCCAATTTGGGATGGATTTCTTCTCTCTAGTTAGTCTAGTGGTGTGCCTTGAAGCTTCATTGTTGTAGAGCTTAATATAATAATAAGAATAATAATCCTTGCATTTGGTACAGAATATATACCACAAGGTGCTGCTAGCATTATTGGCAGCAATATCTGGTAACTCTAGAATCACAGGAGTGCAAAGTTGCTCAATAAACATACATCCACAAGTGACCTATTCCTGGAATACTAATTCCTGGATTGCAATCCAAAATAACTACAGTATGTTGTAAAGTTATTCTGTTGCCTGTTCACACTGTCTCTCTTTGCACCAAGCATCACCAAATCACTGAGTTGGATGATGAATGAGTGACCTGCTCTCCAGTCATCGCCAGTGTTGTGAGGAAGCGGTCAGG